CGAGGAATACAGTTGACTGATCAGAGGCGAAGCTGAGAAGCTGGATTAAGAGACAATCAAAGGGGTTAGCTAATCTTAGCTAATCTTTCTTAGTGAAAAGAAAGGAATGTAAACTGAATTAGAATATTATGAAAGAACATGTATTTATATATATGAGAGGAGTCTCACCATGGGAGAAAACTTTTTTTTCACATGAAATTTGAAAGAAATTCTTGCTGCAGTTACTTTTGACCAGTGACTATAAACCAAAAGTAGCAAGAATACTAATTTCTTATACAAATGACATTGTCTTCTCTTCTCATTTGCAGAAAAACAGAAGATGCTGGTTGAAGAGTTCCAAGATTTGAAACTGAAGCCATGGAGGATGCCCAGGTTGGGGAAAGCTGTGTTAGCTAGGAATGCTGGAAACTCTAGTTCAACCCATCTGGATGTTGGTGGAAGGGATTTGTATAGAAATGGAACAAATGGAACTAACCAGGAAAGAGGGGTCTAATAAGACTTCACATATGGAACCAACACTCCTCCAAATGGCTATCCAATTACCATATCTGTTGTTTAGCCAAGGCATCTCCCTAACACAATTGCTAAACCAGTTTTAAGCCTGATTGAATTCTGTCCCTGCTCATCTGAGATGCCAGTTCTTGGCAGGTTCTTTTTGCCCCTTGGTCTACCTGGTGGGAAATGGGCAATATGACTACATTACAGTGAATTAACAAGTACACATGAACCAGGAATAGAGCACCAGATATCTCTGTCATGGGTAAAGAGTTCACAACTTGCCACAGGCTCTAATGCTTACTTTACCTTTTGAAATATCTAGATTTCATATCACTGGGTGGTAAAGGGGCTGTAATTTGAGAGCAGTTTATATTGGAAGTCATAATATGACCCTGCAGGCTTAACTCTGTTTTTCTTTAGATTGGTCTAGAATGCACAAGAGATATTTCAAAATGCTCTTCAATGTAGTATGGAAATCAGTAAAAAAAAAAAAAAATCCCTCAGAAAATCCAAATTATTCAAAGAGAAGAATTATCTTTGTCACCCAGTTTTTCCTAGACAATACCCATAGCAAATCTTGCAGGTGAAATGCCAAAAGTGGGCTCGTCTCTACATCTTCAAATACTGAATTACTTTCATTCTGTGCTGAGAAGCAGGGAAAACAATGTGTCTTCTCTTCTCTAGCCCTCATCTCACCTCTTAGAAGAGTCTCTAGGCCCATCTACTTTTCTTGTGTATTAATTGCACTTACAGCTTTATTTGGGAATCTACATGGGCTTTCAAGTAGCTTCTCCTCTGGACTCTGGCCAAGGTAATGTCTACTTAGTGTAAGAATCTATATCAGCACCAAATATCTTCAGACTTTAATATCTATATCCATCTTAGGGCTCAGGGCTTCCTTAAGACATGAAACATCAGCTGGAGGTTATGAAGAATGGAACTAAAATTGACCCTCCTCTTCTTCAGGGAAAGACAGGTAGCTCTCTGCTGCCCCCTGGAGGCAAGCTGCCTGCCTACTCCTGAAGAAGCTTGGTTGCAGAGAAGGGTAATCTCTCAAATTATATTTATGGCACTTGTACCAGCTTTGTGCACTCGCATTTGTAATCATTAGCTACTTCCTGAATCCATATAGGAAGAGAGGAGGACAAGGTGACTCTCTCAATGACTGGGATGGGTGGGGAAATGAATTAAAGTCATAATGCTTCCTACCATGCAGAATAAGATAACTAGTAAAAAAAAAAAAACACTGGCAAATACTGACGCATAGGCTGGAGTTTCAGGACAGCAGGAGTCCCCTACAAGTTCTGTAAAAAGGGAGTTGGCAGGCCCAGAAAGAAAGGCTTCCTTTGAATAGTCCTCACAAGAATCTTCTCAAGTGCTAGGCTGTGTTGGTTGCGGTGGGAGGTATGGTGGGGGAGCTGCAGAAGAAAGAAACTGACCATTAGAATATGGGTAGCAGCAGCTTGCTATCTTTGCTGGTCTTGATTAGTACATGAATAAGAAACTAGTAGGAAGGCTTAAGTCTGTAAATTGCCATACACTGAGCTCAACTCAAAGCAGTTTTTTACAGAAACACCAAAGGTGAAGCTGGACCTAATTCAAGGTTAAATGTTCTCCAAATGTGTGAGGATTATAGAGTTACCATACTCTGCCCTGCAAAAATCCAGATAACCACTAGGTGATAGCAAAGGGAATTCTTTCTGTCACCCAGTGGTCATCACCTTTTTTGCAGCCCTGATATAGTAGTCCTATGGAAATGTCATATTTCTGTATCTTTTATTCTGTTACATTGCTACATTTTATGTTACTGTAGCTTGGGGGGGGGGAGCCTCTTATTTTGCCTTGTTTTACGCATGGCCATCTTGGGTTTTAGAAAAGGACAAGCCTACGTCCATGCTTTTCTTTCTTTCTTTCTTTCTTTCTTTCTTTCTTTCTTTCTTTCTTTCTTTCTTTCTTTCTTTCTTTCTTTCTTGTTCTTCTACCCTTAAATTTCCCTCCCTGCCTTTCCACTGTTATTCCAATGCATCCTCAACATTAATCTTTCTCCTACCACTTAAGAGATTCTGAAAAGATTAAATCTCTCGGATGGAACTCAACTAAGACTTACTGTTACCTAACTACAACCATGCATTGTTAAAATTTCTTCTGATTTACACTTACCAAGGCTTGTTAAGTGCCTGTGATTCAGTGAATACTGTGGATTGTTTGTGTATAACATTTTCTTAACAGTAGCTCTAGAGAACTGCAGCTCTCATAATTCCCTGCCCATGCTTGAAGGAAATTCTGAGAGTTCAGACTGAGTACATCTGTACCATATGTGGATAGGAAGTAAATCTAACTTTTCATTATTTACACTCTTTTCTCACCTGTAGGATTGTAGTATGGTGGCCCAGGTGGATATAGAGGGTACTGTGCAGCTGGAACTGTAGGTGGGTAGGGAAACACAGGTGTATATCCAGGATGAAATGATGCTGGCCCTGCTTTTGGATCCATAGGATAAGGGTCTGGAGGCTGGTCAGGATAGCCAGAAAGTGGAATCTCCTGACCTGGATTGAACAAATTTTTGTGAGTACATGCTTCTGTGTGATAGTAAAACTGTGCAGCAGTCTGGATTTGAAGGGGAAGAGGTGACTTGGAGCATGCGTGGACACATACATCACATCTCTTGGCAAGCTGCTTCTTTTCCCAGCCTTATAACGCAATCCCAGGAAAAGACATGTTTGATTTAAGGAGATGCCAGTGGGTATAGTCTGCTCACCCACTGTGCATCACCTTTCCACCTTTGAATCCAGATCACTACAAAGATAATAATTCTCCATGTAATAAGGCAGCCTTCTCCAATCTGCCAGCATGTAGTCCAGATGTTTTGGATTGCAGCTTCAATCATTCTCAGGCCGCCCAGCTCTTGGAAAGATTCCCCATCAGAATGCCCATCTAAGCAACATAAGACTAATTGCAAATATGGTCTTATATCTATGAGAAGGAAGATGTTGGTGTCAAGCCAAACATAGCTGGCAAAATCAAGAAAACAAGAATGACATAGATTTCAGTAAGGTAATGCTAGTCTGAAGTAAATACAAGGCTTTGGAAACTGTAATAGGGAATTCCCAGTTTCCTTTGTAGTGAGAATTAATTAAAGCAGAGTCTCCTTGAAACCCTTTTTCCCAGATGTCTCCCCCTCCCCCCTTGGCTGCATTGCTATTTATGAGACAATCGGTCAACTGACTCACCCTCCAACATTCCCATTCCCCCCCCCCAGTCTCTCCCAGTGGGCCACAGTAGAAAGACATCTTCTACCTTGATAAGGAGTCTGCATGTGATGCCGTCGCTGATACAAGTAGCAGCAGGAGCACAGGAAGCAGCAGACAATGGTGGCAACAATGGCCACAAAAAGAATCACAGCTGAAGCGATGCCAGCAATGGTTCTCGGGCTGCAGAGGACAGACAAAGACAAGAGGATGTCCATGCTTTAGAATCTGCTACTGAACTAGATACTAGTGACTCCTCTACAAGACAAGGATATATGAATTCTCAAAAATCCAGTCACTTCTACTGCCCATCTTCTCACGGTATCTTTGGGTCCAGGTTAAAAAGAGAGTGAGAAATCCGTCAGATATGGTGAGGGACTTTTAAAAATACAGCAGATGCCCTAGGCATCTCTTCCTGCTTTGTTTAATCTAGATTTTTCTAGCTGAGCTATGAGTGCTGTACTTTGGACCCAGTTAGAGGAGATCTGTGAAGGTGTACCAGGTACGTGATGAGAGACTCTTCCTCCTCAGCATTCCTAAAACAGGCTCAAAAAATTAGATAAGTAGATCTATGTATAAAAAATTATTAGAAGTTCTCCAACAACACCTAGGAATCCTGCTCTTTATATACATTAGTCTAAGGTTTAATTCTTGGTCTCATCTTCCTTTTTTAAGTCAGCAACCACATGGCTACTCACTTCCTACATGGCTACTCATTTCCTCCTTGAAAGTTTCTGCTGTTCTCTGGCATGAGAATTAGAGATTTCAGCCTCTCCACCTTCAACTCTTATAAATGCATGGACCCAGTGTCACAGTTCTCATCCTAAGCTATAAAGGTATATTAGGTCTGGCTTAGCAAGTTATGTGAACTAAGCCTTTATGGTTTATAAATCATGGGTTATGGCAGGAGTTCATAATCTAAGGCACTAATACCACATGTGGCTCCAGAAAACTTTGGGTGTCAGCTGTGTGCGTGGGTTTCATTAATATGTAACTGCAAGGGAAACTGAATTTGATCAGGGCAAGGAAGAAAGGAGAGCTCATCCCTTTCCCCGTGGACGTTTTTCCCCAACCATAATTAGCATTACTGAAGCTGCATAGGAGAGATTTTGACTTTAGAAAAACTCCCGAGAAACGATGGAGCATCTCCTCCCCACTCTATTCTGCTCTGATCAAACTCTACTCCTGCCCACCCCCATCCCCCAGCTGTATCTCAGTCATAAAAGCAAGAATATGTAGTTGGGGGATCACTTATATCACTCTGCTCTGTCCATTCAGGCCCTTCAGAGATGACGCTAAGTCTTCATCCCAGTCTTGTTGCTTCCAACCGTCTTCTGTGGCTGGGCCCATCACCTACATATTCTTACCCAAAGGCCATGCAGTGCTTTTGCTGCCGTTCAGTGAGGAGGTTTCTGACATCGAAGCAGCAGAAGCGATGGTAGCAATCACCACAGCAGAAAGAGGGGAAGTTACAGTCTATGCCACGGTGCCAGGAGCCATTTCTGTCTAGGTACCACTTGCAGTCTTCATCAGCTGAGACTGAAAGGAGAAACAAGCCACCCCTTAGCCTTTATCTACTCCACAGAAAATAAAAAGCAGTGAGAAGCCTTCTAAGAACATTGTACAGGGGCTACCCAGATGTTTCCTACACATCAGCCTTTAGGAATGACCCAGGGACCTATATTTAGAGGCCTTCCAGAATTTTGCAGGACATCTTCACATGATCTTTCACAATAGCAGGGCCATCCAACATTTAAAATTAAACTTGAAAAATGTGTGCAAGATCATTAAATCTTGCAAAATCATGTAAGATATGTGACATTAGCCAAGAATGTCAAAATTTTTTTAACTTATTGCAGGATTTTGGTTTTCCTGAAATCTCACAAGATTTTATGTGAGAATACTGAAATGTGAGATTTGGTGAATCTTGTAAGAATGTGGGTTTTTTTTAAAAATTATTTTTATTTAATTATGGGGTTCCAGAGACACCATTTATGGCTTCTCCTAAATTATACCGTCCACAATACCACGTTGCCAACACTCTCCATAAACATTGTTCTCTTTCTCTTTTTAAATATAAAAGCAATAATGCAGATGTTGGCAACATCATGCCAGTGGATACTTTCTCTGGCAGTTGTACGACTCTCTGACTTTAATATTTTTCAGATTCTTTTAATTTAAAAAGTTTAGTAGGAAGCTGCAATGTAACGAAGTGAAGCACCAGTTTCTAGCAATACTAGAATGCCCCAAAGCCTGACAGAGGCCACATAAGTATTTTTACAATTTAAATATACTGGAGGGCCATAGTCCAATATTTTCTTAGACAATATGACAATCTGTCCTCTACAAAAACAAAAGAAAAAGAAAAGCCGGATTAGGAGCCAGTATCTTCTGGGGGTTAAGGGGGATGAACCACATCATTTTGTCTTCAAGGAAAAGGGTGTATTGGCCATAGCCATCATGGCAACCATGTTGTATAGAAAACACAGTATAGACAACAATGTAAACACTGCTTAAATTTGTAGATATTGCTACAATATATTGTGTTTATTTTTACAAAATTAAAATAGATTGTGAACTGCATGCAACATATAGCATATTCAAATCTGAGATATATGTTCTTGATCATTGTTGTAACAGAGAAGTGACCATGTGAATTGTCATCACTATCCAAAGTTGTATTCCTTGTTACATTTTTAAAAAATTTGATAGACCAGATGAATTACATGAAACCTTATGCCATTAAAATAAAGATGCGGAATACATGTTCAACTTGCTTATTTCTTAAAAATATAGATGACCATGCATTTATAAATGCTGTCAAAAGGGAATAAAAAATATACTCATGTAGATCATATTATGTCAGACCTAGCCAAGCAGAGGAAGGTAAAATTGACACTCTTGTACTCTCTAGCATATAGAGGTTGGGTAACTGCTATGGTTTTTTATTACCACCCAGAGTATCAAATGAGTTCATTCCCATGCTTCAAGCCCCTTCTCTTAAACATGTGATCTCCATATATAGAACATGACCAGCTGTCTTGAGATGACTGGAAGTGCTTACCCTGCTCTCTAAACATTGCAACCATTTATTAACCACAGTTCAATTCTGCCTTTCTTCCAAAAAGTCCAAGTGATGTATGTAATTCTGGCTTTTCACCCAGGCCTTTGGCGAGAGAGTGAGACCACTTGTTTCATCGTGCTTGCCATCTTTTATTGATCTGATTATAATTTCTTTGTTTGATTGTTGTGAGCCACCCAGAGTTATTGAGGGTCAGGCAGCATACAAGTTTAATATTTTGCCCCATTTTAACTTCCAGACAACCCCATGAAGTAAATAGGTTTGTTAGGAAAGAATATCATAAGCAAGTGGATATTTTAATTTGGATATTCCAAATATGAAACCAATATTTTAACCCATCACATACCATACTGTATTTTAATGCAGTGATTCTAAAGTTCTTGTACAGGATTTGTAATCCTAAAACCAATTTCCCCATGTATGCAGATATTTCCCTTACAGAGTAAGATAGGTTCTCACCACTACTGCATTAAAAATATAATATTTGTATTCTTTGTTTATATAAAACAAAATTCAGTCACAAATGTATGATCTGTGATGAGTGAAGTAAATAGTATTTATGAACAGAAATAGTGTCTTCTTTCAAACATGCACATTCAGTGCTACCTCCCACCCCTTCCCACCCTCCAATCCATGTAAGTTACTTGGCTATTAACTGGATGAAAGGGAATCTATAGCAGAGTTTTGCAGACTTGATCTATTGGAATGAACCATGTTTAAGAAAGGACTGGTGTTCAGAAGTGAGACAGAACTATACTGAGGAAATGCAAAGTTGTGATCCATTCACTCACTGAACAAAGACAAGCAGGCTTCATGTTTCTTTTTCTTTCTTATGTTACTTTTCCTTTCTTTGTATTCTCTCTTTCTGTAAGAGAAACAGTTGCATCTCCCTCTTTTTCTCTGCAGACTAAAGCTGCAACATTATTTTCCCTGGCACAGGAAGACTATAAGAAATAATTAACAAATAAAAACATTTAATACTGTTTTATTAGTGTTTCTGTGATTTTAAAGGATGGAAGGACGTAGCTGGAATTCCTCTCCACTGACACAATGAAGAGATGAAAAGACAAGGCAACATAAGCCTAATCCTCTGACATGTCAACTATCTGGGGACAGAAAGATGTTAATGCATGTTCACCAGGAAGATATTTCTTGTACATCTTTCACCCACTATACTTCCTTATCCATTTGAATCTGTATCTTAGATGAGCTCATGAAACATAATTGGTTTTGCCTAAATTATTGATTGTTGAATTTAATCACTTTTTTGTATTTTATTCAAGGATATTGCTAAGCATGGGAAAGGCTTTCTCATAACAGAGTTTGAATAATTAAAATTTCTGCACTAAGTTCTTCAGTGCAGTAAAAGCATCTGTCTCTTACTGTATGTAGAACTGGGAAAAACTTCCTTCTTCCTCTTCAGTTATTCTGGGGGACAATGGTTTCTATTTGGTTCATCAAGATGGAACTCTGTGATACAATTTTGGTTAAGAGCACAAACCTGAGGCAGAAGCAAAAGACATAAGATATCAGTAGGTATGGACATTTGCAGGGGGCTTGATTCATGCTTATATCTTCCCTCTTTGTGATGGGAAGGGGTCATCTCTAGTCCAGTTTTCCTAAATTTGCTTTTTCATTGAGAACCTTCATAGATTCATTCAGCCTGAATAAGCAGTGTGATGTTTGTGCAGTCTGATGTAAAGTAAAATTATTCCATGATTGCTAGCCGGCATGCCCAACATTGTTATGATGTTAGACTTGACTATGGAGACCCAGATTCAAGTCCCCAATTAATTATGGAACTCAATAAATGAACTTGAGCCAATGATTCTCTCTCAAACCAACATACCTCACAGGATTGTTTCCATAAGGAAAAAATCTTGAACTCTCATAGAAAAGGCAAGATAAGTATAATGGTAAATGCAACAATAATAAATAAAACATCTAGAATCCTTTGCTAGAATGGCCAAAGCCTATATCTACTAGAGATCATGAGGATTGAAATTAAACTCATCTAGAAGGCACAAGGCTAGGAAAGGTTGGGCTAAATGGTTCAACTATTGCTTTGACTGCATTTACTATTTATGCACTCACAATAATAGTAGAACCCTTTAGCTAGACTTCCCTAAGCTAGTCCCTCAACTCCTATGATTCCTACCCAGCATATCCATTAACTATTGTATTAGTTAGACATATTATTTAGGAATTGAAATTCAATACACCTAGGAAACAAAAAGTTGTAAAACATTGCATAGCCTGTTCCTCTCAACATAAATAAAAAGCCCTTAGCCACTATCAAAAGGCCAAGAAACCAGCCACCTTCATAAAATATTAATATAGCTTGCAGATACAGCATACTCATTATTAGCAGGGCCTCAATGTGGAAACACCCTCAGGTTGTGTGAAAGAATGCAGGGAGTATAATCCGCTGCAGATGGCAGCACCATGGACAGCACCACACAGTTGAACAACCAGGTTCTAGGCACAAGCAGATTCCATTAGGCCCAATAGTGAGCCCAAACAATGAATAAGGGATCGTGAGAATTACTGCACATCCAAACTGGTCAATGGGCTAAGAAAATACTTTCAAACTGAATAAATAGCGTTAGGCATTAAAAAAAAAAAGCCAGCTAGATCCCTTTTTCAAGTAATAGAGTCAGTGGGACTTCAGTCATCAGCCGTAATATCTATTTTATTCTACAATCCCTTTCTTCTCAGTGGTTTTCTCAATTTCTTTCCCCCTTGCTATTGGAATTTCCATGTCTTCAAGTGTTTGTTTTGGAACTTACTTTCCTTCAAAGCCCCATAGCAAATTCTCATTTATCCCGGATTCAGAGAATCCAAACAGTCCCACTTCCCCTAATGTATCCACCTTAGAACTGTCTTATATCTCTTTGATGTGCCTGCTCAATTAGCACCAGCAGCCTTGGGCCAACAGCCCTTGCCCCCCCCCATCCATTTCCCCCCACTATAAACACAGAATTAATACTTCCTAACTTTCTGTGAAGCTGACAAGGAGCACTTTGGCTGTAGCAATAGAAACCTCATTTAATGACTAGAAGTGAGAGAAGGATGAGTATACAGAGATGCAAACTGGACATACATGAGGCACAGGAACAAGATAACTGGACTGAGAAGAAAAGCAAGGAGAAAGAAGGGTGTTACACAAAGGTATCACTGGCAGAAATATCCTTCCATGCAGCATTGATATTCAGATTAGTATTGAAGCTTTGTAGGAGGGACGTATGCAACCATTTGGACTTCTTGCTCATGCTTTGTTTTCAACAGCTTCTTCTACTCATTAGTGAAGGTAAAAAGACACCTCAGTTCAGAAGTAATTATTTGGGAGAAAAAAAACCCTTATCATCTAATAAAGATGTTATATTGTGAACAGAAGCACAACAATATCCATTATAAACAAATGGGAAGATCTATTATGTGTGGTTTAACTGAGGCTTGGACAAACATTATTACAGCTGGGGTTTTTTTTTAAGATTATTTTATCTGAAGTACCTTTTAAAAATCTTTCTAAAATTGAAAGTGTTAGGCTGAATCTACATCATAATCAAAATTTTTCACTGCCTGGAACAAATTCCTTGGGAACCAGGATTTTTAAGCATAGTATGCTACACTAAGTACAATAACTGGATTTCCACATTAAGTCACAAACCATCACAGTGGCTGGAATTCACACATCAGGTAAAAACAAAGAAACCTGATCCAGATATATGTAATATAAATGCTACAATGAGCACATTACATGAATGTCAGTTATACTGTCCATCTGCCAGAACTTTGGAAAAACCTTTTCCTCATTATTATCATTATATCTTGAATAATGAAGTACCCTTCTTCTCTCACAACACAACAATGACTTTATGATAATAGAAAAAATAAGCCTTTGTCTGTCTGTAGTAACTATGTAAACCAACAAGGAAGCTGTTTTCAGTTACTATTCCAACTTCAGCCACAGCAGAGTGATTAGCAAAATTAAGGGATAACTGTTCTATATTAAATGTTTTCAAGTAGATATGGAACAACACACTGAGAACAGGCCATTTTCAGAACTAGTGCTATTCCACACCTACAGTACTTGAGAACACATTTCTCATGATGAAATTTACCATAAAGTTTTATATGCAATTTCTATTGTTTTCTTGCAAGATCAGTCCTCTAGGTGTACTAAAACTGCAACATGGTCCATCTCTGTTCATTCTGGCTGAGGATGAAAGGAGTTGCACTCAATCATCTGAAGATACCAGACTGAGGAAGGTGACTTAGAACCTAGTGAGTTGCTACCTGTCAGAAACAAACCCTATTCGGATAAAAGAACCTATGGCCTTCCTGAAAACAAACCATCTTCTTAAGTTCATGAACATCAACATGAGCATGATTAACATGCTCAGTCTATAAATGCTCAGAAGTACTAGCATATTTCACACCATGTTCTTTCACAGAACAATCTTCCACAGCCTAACTTCTTTTATATATTTAATGTGGGACTACAAATCCATACTTTTGGAAGCATCAGGTTCAAGACTTCTATGGCATCTCCCTGATCTGTTAGTTTTTCATAAATGTTGATAGGGTTATAATTTCAAAGGCACATGTCTTTTCTGAACATCTGAATCAGATCTCTGAATCCCATAGTGCAAAAGTTCTACATTGCAAAAATAATAATATCAGTGAAAAGAGTGTTGGAAAAACATTGTATCAGACCAACTTTATATCTGGTT